AGGGTGACAACAACGTTTTTGGATTAGGATAGTCTTGATTGAAATGTTACACAATCCTTATTAAATACAGGAAGAAATGTTTTGAAAATGTGCCTAGCTGCTGAAATCAGCCTTTGTGATACTGGACTCAGAACAGTTGAGGGAACCCTTCTGTGAATGCTTGTGAGCATTTCTGGGGGCAACTTTGGGTGCCATCTTACTATGGCTATTTCAGAAAATGGGACAACTGACTTGGTATTGTAATTACTGCTTAGTGGCATATGCTTACATATTTGAAATAAGCATATAGATGTGCAAAAGAGAAAAATGTAAGCTAATTCCTCAATATTGAACAAGTATCAAGAAGCCTGGCTGAGTTAATACACCCCTTGTATAACTGCTGGCAGTATTATAAGGCAACCCAAGAGGATTGGATATGCTCTGTACATCTTTAAGTAGGATATACTCAGTAAGGCTTTATGCAGGGCTGAATCTGCACTCTTATTCCAGAAACCCTTGGCATGTCTAATGAACACAGATGCAGACACAGAGAGGTCATGTGTGCACTGATGTCTGAAGCTGAGGTCTTCTGCCAACTAAGTGGATATCTTTTAAGGACTTAATCCTATAACTAATGAAGTCAAGAGGAGATTTCAGTTGACATCAATGGACTTGGAGTCAGGCCCTCAAAGATTAAAGTAATCCTGTACTAAGCTTTCAGGTGGCTTCTGCTGTCTCACACCTATACCCTAAAAAGTACGCGTGTCTTATTCCACTGAATTACTCTGCTGTTGAAAACAATGAACATTCTAGCGAAACAGGCTTAACTTTTCTCAATGTTTCTACAACATCTGCCCTGAAACTACTTATGGAAATGTTTATCAGTTTTTTTTGTAGCCAGAATCCAGATTATTTAGTACATACTTTCTGCAAGTTTGGGTTAGAATAAATATAAAGCTTTGGTTACTCTTTTGGTGAGATTCTTATATTTGTGGGGGTTTTTTTTGTTTGTTTTTTTTGTTTTTTTAATGACAAAAATAAGATGTTGGTCAATTTTAATACTGTAAATGGGAAAACTTAGTTTTTATTTACTTCATGACTTCATTTTGTTTTTTCTGAGACAAAGTTCACTTTTTTAAATTGGACAGAAGATCAAATGGTATAATTCCTAATTAAGCTGATACACAGTTAAATTTAGTATATCTGTGTATCAGGATAGTAAATTAAAATGCATTAATGTCTTTTAAAGGATTTGCATAATTAAGGAAAAACAAGCAGAGCAGGATGTCCTTGGATTTGTTTTTTCCTTATGGCTTGAATCTTATAACTGTCTGTTTCATGGATGCAAGTAAAATTACATGTATGAATGTTTATTTTTACCTTAATGGGACTTTACACCTGTGGAAAATTGCTTGTTCATAAGTGTTTTCAGAATTTCCATTTTGCATATATATATACCTGAAATGTCCTTGTTTCTAACCCTAAATTAGAGAAAGTATATACTGAAAAGCAATATTTTATCATCCTAGGAATATTGTTCTGCTTTTTGCTTCAGACATCTGATTATTGGATGGAAATTGATAACTTTCTGATGAGCATAGTGACTGTATAGTGACCAAGTGCTTTCTCTCTTCCTTCAGCTTTAGTCTGAGCTTAACATCCTGAGGCAGAGCTGCTTGAGGCTGTAAACTCCTGATCTGTAAATGTCCACACTAAGATACAGTCTTAGAAGTCACTATAAAATAACAAAGCTCTGTGGAATGATCAAGAGAGAAAAACCTCAGCCTGCTGGGAAGCCTATTTGATGCCCAAGTCTATTAGGCAGTTTCAAAATTAATAAGCATCACCTGCAGCAACCAGGGATTATAGACATTTGCTATGGTTTTAGAAAGGAAGGAGCTGCAAAACCAAAATGTGGGGAAGTGAATGAAAGAAGGCGATAAACAGAGGTGTCATGTTGGCAATACAGTTATTTATACCTAACTTGGACTTTGTTTGCATGAAATGTAATAACCTGTGAGGATTTAAAGGTACAAAGGGCTTGTGTCTGTGTCCCTGACTGTTAACGGAAGGGACTTATTTCCTCGAGGGGAGCAGTTTGAGTTAATATTTCTTACTGGACGCATCAGAAAAATGAGTTTACTGTTTTTCTGAAATGGAGTGAAACAATTTGGAGCTGATTTTACATAACATCTTTTTGTTTCCCTACTTATTTATTTAGTAAAAACATTTCTTATATTTGAATAGTATGCCTTCTTTCTGATCAGTGGCACTTAGAAAGATGAAGGTTTTATGTCCCAGAATAATAAAATGAGAGTTGAAAACTAGCAGGCATCAGGAATAGAGTTATGTTTCTTGCAACAGGTATGTTTGTTCTCTTTTAACAGTAAAAAGCCTCAAAGAATGCTTGAAATGTACAATGTGTTGGGAACAGAGAGGCAGTATTTCTGAATAAAGGAAGAAATGAATGGAATAAAAGATTAGGGGAGAGAGAGACAGAGACAGAGACAACTCGAACACATACATAAAGTCCCTTCTGGAGGCCCTTATCTAATTGCCTCATTTATCTAGTTTCATTTATAAGCTCAATTTTATTCTGGGACGCTCTCGGAGGTTGTGTGAGAATGGCTGCAGAATGACCTAACTGGCAACAGGCTTTCTACAGACCCTTTTTTTTTTTGTTTTGTATGCCAATTCTCAGGGCAATTACTGCAGTTGCCCTTTTTATATCAGCATCTTGGGTGGCTGGGCCTGGGGTTTGCTCGCTCTTTTTAATAGTGTAATTTCTTTTGATAAATAAGCAGCTAGGAGTTTTTGTGTCTTTTTTTTTGAGAATACTTCTTTTCCACTGGGACTTCCTATGTACTCATGTGGGCTTACTGCAGAGGCTTGCTTTCACATGATATAAAAGATGATTTAAAAATGAAGCAAAACACTTTCCACAAACTATCTGTCTCCCCTCTCCCTCTAATCTTCACTTAGATTACTTCTTAGGTTTGAAGCTTTGGTGGAATGACTCAAACATAAACTCTTTTTTTTTTTTTTTTTTTAATAAATGGAAGTATTTTGCTTAAAAGCTATTTTCTGAGTGCAGCTGATACAAGTGTTTTCCCATTGATTTAAATGACACATGGTTTTAATTCTTAGCTTTTACTGGAGTTCTATTTTCTGATTTCACTAGTAAACTAAATTGTCTTTATTATTAAGGTCAAAGCTATAACATCATGGGTATCCCTTCTCTACATGACTATGGCATATATATTCCTGGGGATCTTTTCAAGTCTCTAGGAGCTAACCAGTGAGAAAAGAACTATCACATCCACATCTCCCCAGCTTTTGAAAATAATGCGTCACAGTGGAGGTAAAGTTGGATTTATTTTAAAATGTATTTCATTAAAGAAAGTGTTAAAGATATTATCTCTGTCAGATATTTAAATGTTGCTAAAATACTTCAGTGACTTTCTTGCTTTGCCGGTTATGAAGAGTGTAATAAAACTGTGCCATGTGACAGATTTAGACAGCTGGCTCATTCATGAGAAGTTCACATTTTTGTCACCCACATTGAATAAGGAAAGATTAGATGCTAAGGTCAATTTACAAAAATGGTTGTCAGGACATTTTTTAATTGTAAAACTTTTTGTGATGGAATTCAGGGAAAAGACTGAAGGCAGAAAGCAGCGGAGACAAAGAGCTGCTATTAACCTACAGATGCTACTGCGGGGTTCATTTTAAGATTGGTCACACTGCTTAGCCAATGAAGTGTTCGTGTGACTATAAGGGACCACCCTTTTCTGGGGTGAGAGGGCAATTTGGTCTTCATGCTCATTTAATCCCAAGATGTCTTTCAATGGACTGTCAGTTGAATCTACATTGTGCAAAATTATGCATGCACTTTTTAATGCAGGCCATTGTTCACTGAGCCCTTAACCAAGATTTCTCAACCAATTTCCACTTGGCATGAGGTCACTCAAAACCCAGGCAAACATATATGGAAGGCAAATGTAATTTTCTGTTCCTCTGAGCTGGAATGCCTAAGACAGGGAAATGTAACTTTCTGTTATGCTGTACTTTAAGATTTAAAATGTGCTAAATGAAGACTGACAACTAGAAAGGAAAATGCATGGCATGTCACTGTTCTAGAGAGGTAACTTTACTAGTGGAGAGTAATATGGCTAAAGCCTTTTAGATCTTATTGCCTAAAGTGTTGTAAATCATTGACAAATGAGCAGCTGCTTATAAGAACCATAGGATGTGCACACTGGGGCTACTCTGCTTTCTTTTCGTAGGCAAGATTTTGTAACAGCCAGGTAGTGCAAAGAAAATCTGTCAGTAGGTAAGTAGTGAGCAAAGAGACTGCCAGTAATGCCCTACAGCTGTAGATAAAGAGGGCATCAGTTCTGAAGATACATCTACTTAGTCTGGGAATAATTTAGAAAACCTGACTATAGCATGTGCCTGTAATTATTGATACATTTACAAAGACTCAATTTCACACTAGCTCTTCAAGTAACATTTACATTTAAAATTGCATTTGGTGAGAATCATTATACGTTTTGTACAAGTGACATCTTACACAGCCAACACGTGCTTATGTGAGCTCTCATCCAGGGATGTTTCATTCAACGTGAAATCGGCAGCAGTCTACTCATGTATAGTCTGGCCTGTCCAGTTATGGTGGGAATCGCTTTATGAGCACTTTTAACATAAGCTGGAATTTTATTATGATTGGTTGGCAGTTGTTTTTTTCCATCCGTCGTAAATGAGTACAAGTTGACACAAGGATACATTTCTAGATTAGATCCGCAACACATTAAAGAGTGTGATTGCTCTTTCTTTCCCCGTCTTTCCAATTAAGTTGGTGAAAAATGTAACTTTAGTATTTTACAGGATATGGTAAAGCTGTCTCATCTAGGTGATGTCTATATTATAAAAATAAAATAAAATAATATAAATATGTAACATGAACCCAGTGCCCATTGTTAAATAAAATATGTGATAAAAAGCAGACCTTCTAGGATGACTGGTTTTGAAATATGCGAATATAATTTAATTATTAAACACTTGAAACAATCTTGATATTAAGCTGCGATAACCAGATTTTTGCATCTATGCTAGATAAAGAAATGCATAACATTCTGTAATAGAGTTACATTGATGAAGGTGAAGGTTACAGTCTTACAATGAATTGCCTCGATAGGAATGCATTAAGGAGTTCTCAAATATTGTCTCATGATGGAGTTCAGTTCACCTTAGAAACCATTACAACTGGATTTTATTAAGCAGCAGCTTATACACCGATGTTTGAAAACTGCTCTCTCACCGCCATAATCACATAGGTACAGACATGAGATTTCTGGGATGTCAAAGAATCCATTAAGACACCACGAAAAGTCCCTTGACAGAAATGTGATTTACAGTGGAATTACTTCGTAAACTATTTCTCATGAAGAAATAAATATTAAAAAAAATTCCACTAGCCATAAAACCGCATTTGTGATAGTGCGTGCCTGTGTATGTGTGTGCATATTGGCAGTCGGTACGTCTGGGGAGACGTACAGAAATACTGACACACACACAAAGAATTTACCTGCACATTTGTGGATATTATACTTAAATTAATAAAGTAAATCAAATCACTGGTTTTTGTTGCAGGACAAGAGTCTTTTAAAAATGACAGGATTCAAAACAAATGCCCGTTGAAAGTGTAGTTTCCAAATAGTCCCAGAAACTATACAATATAGCTGGTTAGATCCAGCAAATAGGATGTCATGTCTAGGATCTGATCAAGAATACCTGCCCTTGTCACTCTTCGGATGTTTCTATCCACTTGTTCACACTGGGGGCCGAGATAGCCTTTTTTACATAAGCATTTATTAGGCCTTACACAGACACCTCCATGTCGACAGGCTGGGTCACATTTTGCTGTGGGTAAAAAACAGTGATTTTCTAGTTTGTTTAGAGCATCACAAACCAAAAGTATACAGTACACATTCATTAATGCCTTTCTAAATTTAAAGTGATAAAGCACATAAATTAAAAACAGGCTGAAAAGGATGAAATATTACCATCTTTGAAAACATTATTTTTTTAAGCTTAGAATATTAGGGGGAGGAAGTAATTTTGTATGTCTGAGAGGACGTCACCCAGGACAGACTGTGAAGCTCAAATAGATTTTTGAAAAAGTCCAATTCCTCTATTCATGCTTCATTTTGGAGTGTATGGAAGATCCAACTCAAAAGACTTTGGGCTCCAGATGTTATTTAAAAAAAGGACATGCAGCACATCTAGATCTTTAAACAGTGGTTGTATAACTTATACCATTTCTTATGCTAGCAGCACAAAAAGCCCTGAAGTTTCTGAGACGCTTTAGTACCTGACCATCTCCAGTCTAACAAGTACTAAATCTCAGGTCAGCTCCTTTGTACACACAGAGAGTTCTGCACTACATGCTGTCCTTTGCAGAGCAGACTACAACTGACCACAGAGGTACATTCCTTTGGCTCTTGAATCACTTATGTGTGGAACAGAACTGAATTTCTTTTAGGAAGAAAAGAACCAGAGTATTTTTAGAGATTTTTTTAGAGATTTTAGATTTTAGAGGTTTTTTTTGAGATTAGACATTAGGAAGAAATTCTTTACTGTGAGGGTGGTGAAACACTGGGACAAGTTGCTCAGAGAAGATGTGGCTGCCCCATCCCTGTAAGTGTTGTGTGGGATACAGTCTATGTATTTTCTGTAGCTTTCTTGTACATTGCGTTTATTAAATCATCTATCACAGAGCTGTAATTTTTTAAACAAGCTAGATTATTCAAGACCCATTTATGGTCACACTGGAGATCTTTTTTACTTTTAAGTTCCACTTGAACCAGGGCTGTAGAATGAGCCTCATTCTCTAAATGGAGGAAACCTCTGACTGACAAGTGAGGACAACCGAAGTTGCACTATTTGATCAGATTAACTCATCCATTGCTTTTGTTGCATGGTTGCATGATGGTCAACTCATGAATCTTGCCAGTATGATATATCATGAGTGATTTAATTAATTTCATTTAATTTAATTCCAAAGTCACTCCTGATCATCACTAGAAACCAGGAGACTGCTGAAATTTACACTCCAGGCTATAAGGACCACGTAGCTGATCCTGCTTCAGCAGCGTTCTCCTGAGTGCCCTTCCAACCTGAATTATTCCTGGTCCATCATATGAACCTTGCTTTGTCTTACTCTGTGATTCTTTTACACTTGAGTTCTACTGCCAGTATGTTAACCTTATCTATTTGTATAGGCATCGGCATAAACTCACTAGGCAAACATGTTCAGTCAGAAGACTGCACTAGTGCACTAATAGCAACTTCTGGTACCCAGGCTTGCTCTGGAAGACCTGCATAGGCCAGAATTATACAGCTCAGACATAACCACAGCCTCTGTGAGACAGTGATATGACAGCTTTGGCACCGCATGTTCATTCATCTCACCCCTTCGGTGTCATATCCAACACCTAGTTTGATTACAGTCACTTTTTCAAGTAAGTGACTTTTAAAAGTTACACTATGGCAACAAGATAGGACTTAATAAAAGCACTGTGATTAATAATAGATTACAGTAATGTTCTGGTTATTAGCTGCTTTGTGATAACTTCTACACATAATTCTAGTTAACAAACTAGAGCAATTTTATTCTGTAGTATCAGAAGTAAGGATGTACCAAAACTAAAGTATTTACATTACCTTAGCAAAGTGCAAAATATACAATAGTGACCTGAAGGTCTGATTTGTCATCTTTCCTGACAAGGGACTCCTATATGCCACTGACAATGATAATATTGCAGGTGAAAGCTTAGTGTCCAAATAGGAAACATGTATTGATTGCATTTCCTTTCATTGTACATTCTTGTGAAAAAAATAATACTTTTGTCTGTCATATTTATGCTATTAATTGCATTCTGTAATGGTTCACGCTGCATTAAATGTTTTAACAGTTGCACTCATCCAAACTTACAGTTCTCCTACAACTCATGAGATCAGTACGTCTTTGTCATTGCCTTAGAACTGATGGTCAGTGACATACATTGAAAATTTCTCTCAGCAAATAATTAAAAGCAATTTATAACATATCATGGTTTTTTTTCACTTATTGCTGTGAATCTGTATACGCACCAGTTCTGCAGAATTCTCCTTCCCAGCCTTGATTGCAGCAGCATTTTCCTGTGGGAGTGCAGTGCCCGTTCCGACAATGCCTTGAGCATTCAGATGTCAGTATCTGTGCAGGCTGAGCTGTTCTTTTGCATTCTTCAGGGACTAAAGGCCTGAAAAAAAAATAAAATGAACCAAACAGTTAAAAGTTGGGGTCAATAAGAAAGGCTTTGGGGTTGTTATTACAGGCCTGAGTCTCTTTTATTGTACTATCAGTGGGAGAAATCAGTTCTAAGAGGATTGCTTTTTTTCTCAGAAACACCAGGAAATGTAGGCATAACATGTTACATTAAAGAACAATACAGTGTGATTTTCTGTTCTTTCGTATAACTGCCTTCAAGGTCTACAAGATGAGATAATAGTCCTTGAGAATTCTTAAAAGCATAAACCTGGCAAACAAACTTCCTGAAGACCTAATCACAGGCAGCATATATCTCTGGATAATATCATTATTAGACATGCTAAATTCTACTGATTGTGTGCGATTTCTTCAGCGAGCACAAATAGTCATATAATTCAGTCCAGAATCTGATGGTGTCTTTTTGCTTTTCTTGCTGATTTATGTTTCTGTTTGTATCCTGGGAAGAGTAATCTGAACAGCAAGTTTTATGTCACACATTATGGCATGCATAATAATTTTGCAAACGTATTGCCTCTATGAATTCAGTTTGACACAGCAGATATTTAATTTCCATATTGTCATGAAATCATATTTGTATTATGCATTCTGGATGCTTACTGAAGCATCTGAACATCAGGGAAGACTCTTTCACTACTGGCACAAGTTGCCCAGAGAGGTTGTGGAGTCTCCATCCTTGGAGATATTCAGAAACTGTCTGGACATGGTCCTGAACAACTGGCTCTAGGTGGTCCTGCTTGAGCACAGGGTGTTGGGCGAGGTACCCCCCCAGAGGTCCCTTCCAGCCTCAACCATTCTGCGAGTGCTTCTGTGAAATGCATGTATGAAGGAAATTGTAGTTCAGTTGACAAAATATTTCTGATACTGTTTTTTCCTGGGCTTCTTGGTATCAAGTCGTACATAATGCAAATTTTTTCTGTCAATGTCTACAAAATATTTTGGATATCTAGCCTTTTTTATTTGCAAAAGCACAACATTATCTTCCTTAACAAAGAAGCAACTGTAGTGTTCCTTCTGTAGTGTTAAGTGTGTAAAACACTTAAGTGTTTTAACCTAAGCATGCTCTAACTGTTGATAAGACTTCCAATGCATTTTAGATGTTAATTGTTTGGGTTTTTTTTGTTTTTAATTTAGCTGTATATCACCATATTGGCCACTTATTTGCTGTCTGAGTTCAGCAGCTAGAGACTGATAGGATCATCACAAGGCTATAGGCTTATGGTAGAGGTACCATGTTTTGTCTCTGCTGTAGGTTTGATTGCACAGGAGTAAGTTTTGAAAAGAACATCAGGATCTCCTCAGAGATCTAAACAAGTAAGTGAATGGAAGCATCATTGTAAATGAAGTTAATTAGTGACAAATAAAAAATTTTTTTATTCTCAAGCAGATAATCTGAACTACTGCCATACATTCCTAAGCTTGAAATTTGCAGGATGAAGATTTTACAAGTTTTGTGGAGAGTTCAGAGAAGCCATGGCTAAGTGTCCAGCTAGAATCTGAACAAACCAAAGCAAAATTGTATGAGATAGAAATAGAATAGAAAATAACATTGTTCATTATGCTGACATCAGTATTAAACCCCCAATTATATGCAAATAGGTGATACAGCAGCTGATGCACTGATTATCCTGTCAAATATTAAAATCCTAGACTGATAATCCTATGGGGAGAAAAGCATAGTCTTTGAAATCTGAAGACGGGGTATGATGGAGGTGCGGAAAACAGCGACAGAAAAAGACAAGGGAAATTGGGCATTCTTGACGTTTCAACATCATAAGAAATTGAGGGGAAAAAAATGACTAGTTGAACTCATGGCTTCTAAGATACCAATGAAGCCCATGTTCTAGTAGGGTTTTACAAAGATTTTTCTATGCACAATGGGGACATTCAAAGTAATATTAGATAGAATAAAAAAAATTTTAAAGAAAAATAAGTGCTCATACCTAATGATATAGAAGTCCCTAACTAGCTGACTGGGTTTATATTCTCCCCCACCCACCCATTTTGGCATGCAGCTTGTTAATGGTACATTACACGGTTTCTTGCATTTGTCTCTGAAACACAGTAGTAGAGTACAGGTTCACTAGTTTGCTTCACTGTAGCACTTTCTCTGCTCAGTCTTAATTGCTACCATGACTATTTAAACATCCATACAGAATATCTGGTTCCCCAAAGATGTTAAGGACAGAAATAATGTGTAGATGCATCTTTAGTGTAGCAAAATTTCAAAAGCATTTCTGAAAATCAGACTTCTGGTCCTGTATTATTTAAGGGCCTTGAAACATTTTGACACCTTTCATGCAGCAATATTTGAAACCCTTTCAGGTTTCATGTTTACATATTTCCATAGCTGTCTTAAATATAATGCATTAGGTTTTTAACCTGTAAGAAATTCCATTTCTATAGTAATGGTTAAGAAAGTTCCTACACTTAAAAATTGTGAGATTCACAGGCAGTACTCTTTGGGAAACAGTTCTATAAAATGATATGATTTTCAGTGGAGCCTTTTTCAGATTCTTGTCATTCCTACCTCTGGAAAAAAAAAGAAAAATTTAAATTTGAAGTGATTTCTTTATAGCCAACTGCATAGGAGACAACATTCTTTCTTCATCTGTCTCTGTTAAAGCCCATTTCTTTCAAGTTATTTTAAATAGGGGCCTTTTTCTTGCTCAAAAACAAGTACAGTACTGTGTTTAGCAAGAAGCATAACCTCAGGCTCCTGAAACATCTCTTGGAAGAGAGCTCCAGTGGCATATCTTTAGCAAAGAATGACCTCATAAGTCACACAGATATTTTATTTGTGAAGATAATAATTTATTTTATGAATAGTGGTATAGTATTTATCTATGACAGTGTTGGAATATATGGTTCTTTTATTATTTGTATTTAAGTAAGGAGGTAGAAATAATACTTTTTGTATCCAGCCAAGCATGGCTGGTCATTTTCATGATTTGAAGTTTTCTAGTGCTCTTGGTACTTGTGAATATAACTTTGCCCTTTTTATTCTACCATCAATCAATAATCTGCTCTAATCATCCTCAGACAATATTTGTTAATGGTGGGGGTGGAGTAGATACAAAGATGGAAAAAATTCTGGTTGGCAGAGTGCCTTAGGAAAAGAGGAATACAAATGCAGCTGCAGCAGAGTCCTTGTGTGTGAGAAGAATTACTGGCTTTCCTTGGTTGTACTATGGGAAAAGCCACACTTCTCTTTCAGGATTTGAATGTTGTTATGGTACCAATATGTATCAAGAGAAAGTCTTTGCCCCACAATACTTGCACTTTGCATTCCTAAGGTTTTAAAGGGGTGGAAATTTTCAAGCTTGGCATAAGTTGAACTGAATCTCACAAAGATAATATAAGTCTTCAAACTGACTGTTGGGATCTGATCTTTCCAGCACTTAGACAAACCTATGGTTTTGTTTATATAACTACTGCTTCACTTGTGGAAAATGGAGGGGAATAGATGGAGCCACGTTGTGGGCTGGAGAGAATTTTTTTTCTTGTCTCCCTCAATCTATAAAACTCAAAAGGGTACAGCTTGATTACTCTTACAGTAAGCACTACTTGGTCCGCAGAAAGTCAGCCAAAAATGTAGCTGATAATGACTATTTATACGGTCTGTACAATTCTAGTTATCTTAAAGAGCTGTTCATATATACAGTACAGTACAGTATATCTTGCTTGTTAAAACATGCTTTCATGAAACTGTATAACAACTCTAAATGTATGGAACACGGAGGAGAAGTTGTACTGGGGGCTGGGGCCCTCGCTGGGTCCCTTTGCTGATGAGTGCAGTGAGCTGGGAATTCTTGGCTGTAGGATGTGTAAAATATTTTTTGCTGCATTACTGTAGCTAGTGTAAGAAAGTAGCTTCTAAGGCTAGTTTAGAAGCACATAAAAGTCGAACATGCTTTAATAGATTGAAACTCACGCTGGAACTGCTTAGGATTTCATGCTTTTCCTTAGTGCATCTCTTCACAGTTCCACTAAATGCACACAGTGATTCAGTTGCTATATGTGCTTGCCTGTAACTCAGACATACATAAATCAATGCAAATGGAGGGTCAAATTCAGCTGTAATACAATGGTACTGAAAACAATTCCTCCTTCGTGCCTTTGACACAATATCAAAAATCTCCTTTTCTTCCAGTAAAGTGAGAAAAACCCAAACAAAACTCCTGGATGTTCACAATCAAAGAAGGGACATGGCCATAGAAATCCTGATTGTGATAAAAATATAAGGAAAGAATGTTATGCTTCCATTAACTGCTCACAGGATATTAGGTGTAAGAATGATGCTTAAGTATACCACCAAAATTTGTGCACTAATTGTTTGGGTTTTTCCTTTATAAGGGAAAATGTCAAGAAAAAATAATTTTGTTTCACTACTTGTCACAGACTAAATTTACTACTTGTCATAGAATAAATATAGCATCTCTTCAGGTACAGCTTCTAAAATTAAAAAGTATACCTTTAGTCCTGGGAGAGATGCCAAAAGCTCGTTACTTGTCTCCAGATTTAGTTCATGGGAATAATGTGGAAAAAACTCATGGCTTTTAAGATTTAAACTCAGCAGCATATCAAATTTATTCTTATATGGTATACTTGTTCATGACCTCTAGTCTTAAGAAATTCTGTCATGTTTGAAAACTAGTCCCTAGTGAAGCCTGTATCAATGTTAATAGCTAAGAGGTCAATGCAACTGCTAAACAGTTTGTATTACTGTCAGGGTGGTCATGAAAACAACACCTGCTGCATGAACACTTGGCAGCTGGGTCAACAGGCACTGTGGGAATTTATCAATTTAGGGGGCCACTTGCATAACACTTTGACTGATGAATTGGGAAAGACTGGCTTACTGGGCTAAAGCTGCTCTATTATGTGTGACTTTCTTTAGGATGGCAGAGGCTTCCTGCAGGCTCCAGAAAATAAGCAAAAGATAAACTGAGCTGTTTTTTCCTTATAAAGTGATAAAAAGTGAGAACTCCTTAATAGCCAATGATAGAAAGACTGAAAAAAAAAAGGGAGGAAAAAAAAATCCCAAACCAAAACAAAAACTTTTACAGTCAGTGAGCTGGGATGTGATTGAAAAAAATCCTTAGGTTTTTCCATTGTGGTTACAAAGGAGTTTTTGTGAAGTACTTCTGTAAAGTGAAACTCTCTAGACTGGTATTCGCAAAAAGCTCTAATTTCTCTTTAGTGTCTCTTATGGGAATAGTAACTGCATGTGGGTAGGTAAATGAGATAAGAATTTTGCATGCTCCGGCTAAAGTAAACATCATTAGACATTAATTCTGGCTTTCCATTCCCTCAAATGACTTAAGGGATAGTAACTTTCTGAACAGAAAGAAATCATATGGCCCACCTGGGTTGGTGAGAGCATTCACCAACAAAATTGGCTCACTCTACAGAGAGTTTCCAGTAGTAGCTTCAGAGTGTATCCATAACCCATCAGACCTGAGTATCTTGATGCAGATTAGTCTAATACTGTATGTTTCTGTGTTTCCATTTCCATAGTAATGAAAGCCTTGAAGAGGGCTACGCTTTCATAAATGCTATTCTTCTTATCATACCATCAAACACTCTAGATTCATACTAAAAAATAAAGCCACCAGTGTTTTTGTAAAGAGCCCAAACAATATCAAAATGAGGTATGACCTAGATACTGTCCCTTAGTGTCTGAAATCAGTCTCTCTGGAAATACTCTGTGATAGGGGAAATCCCAGAAGGTGATGATGGAAAGGATGATAAGTGGAATTACATACTCTTGGGTGGGGGGGGGGGCATGAAAGAGGAGTGAGGTGGTTTGGATCAAGTTCAAGTTTCAATCCAACGGAAAGCAGCTATTCTGGCTGATGATATGAAAAATACTGAAATCCAGACCTGTAAGGTGTTAGAAGGAGAGGAAGAGGAAATCTTAAGTGTGCAAGGACACTTAAGATCTGCCCTCTTTCATAAAAATCACCTGCTTCCTCCGGTGAGCCATCCCAAGCAAAAGTATTATTCCCTTTGGAATCACTGTATCAACAGTGGCAAACACTTAAAACTTCACAAAACTATACAGCACTATAAACTTTTCTAAGTTTCAGGTGTTAAATGGAAATCTTTTGTATTGTCCATCAGTTTGAATACTCTTCTCTGATTCTTTAATTTTTTCTAGAATTTGCCTGGAGATAAAAGTGATCATAGTATAAGTATTCTAAAAGAAGGCTCACAAAGCCATATTATGGCTGTTCTGCCACCTTCCAAAGTTTATTTTCTTACTTCTTGGTCTGTCCTCATCTATGGTTTTTAAAGAACAGCTGGTAATAATGGTTGACGTACAGCTGATATGAACCTATCAACAGATCTTTCTTATTTAAATACTCATTTTTAATACTGTCGACAGCTGATTTTCTCCTCTCGTCAAGGTTTTGTTTTCTAATGAGTTCATCTTCTGTTTTCTCCGTTATTGACTAACTGTAATATTTGGACCTATACACATTTTCTACACCACTGTTTACCTAGCTATTTTTCCTATGCATTCACCAATGTGTTTTTGATTTATACTATTATGTATTTGTAGAAACAGAAAGCCAGATAGAAAAATCATAAACCAGAAAGTAGAAATATAGAAAATAAAAAGGTTTTCTTTTTTGGTCACAAAGACAATTTCTAAAGTGCTAGGATTTTCACTGATCTTCAGGACATGAGCAGCCGTGTCTTTTAGGTGAGAAGTACATAAGTCTTTCTCCCTGTGTTTTTTCATGAGTTCCTAACCCTGGAAAGCAGTTTACTTGTGATAACTTTTTTTATAATCATCAAAGAATAGATATATTTTTCAGAGACACAGTTTTAACTTAAGAAATTCTTCTTTTGTCTGCTAGTTTAACTAATTTACCTAAACCTGGTCTTAAGTGTTTGTAATTCTTAGGGTTTCTCGCATCTTCTCCAATCTCAAAGCCAACTATACTATTACCTATCCTCTTCACTCTACCTGATTTTGGTAACAGTAAATGTGTATTTTGCAGCACCTCACATATTTGGTTTTAACATACAATTTAACTTTCATGTTTCTGATCCATCGATTCATTGTCTAAAAACTCCAAAGTACTAATGTATTATTTTAAGAACCTTGTTAAAATGAGAAGGATTATTTAATTCTGTGCTTTTGAGGGGAAGCTATTCAGTTATTGACATTAAGTATTTGGAAGACCTGAACAAAAGTTTCCTGTGGTAACTTTAATTCTATGTTTCAAACTGCCTTGATGATGGAAGGATTCAGAACCTCTGTGTTGATCATATTTATCAATTTGTTATATATCACTTCAGCTTAACACTTCATTTTTGTTACATGTGAAGGGTTTTCTTAGCAAGCAATGAATTTCTAAGATGTGACAAATCAGTATCTTGATGACTTTATTTATACCTGATACTCAGATCCCACTTCTATCATCTTTATTTTGTGTTCTAGAGAGCTTACTAGGGTTTATACCTGAATTTGATATATTTGTATGGCACATACCATGAGGAAGACATGAAGGAGCAACAATATTAGTATGCAAAAAATATCAGTGCATGATTAACAATATTTTGTTAACAAAGCATTACATGAACATTTGCCAATGCCATGGAATTTTAAAATTGTTTACATGTGCAATGTGAAATTAGCATTAAATGGTTAATAGAGCTGCAATGCTCTTTTGTGGAAGTAGCTATCTGTCTTTTAAAAGCCTGCACTGGTGTGAGATTGAAAAACAACAAAACTCAAAACTTTGCCTGAATGATAATTATCTCATGTTTCTAAAAAGTGTTACCAAAACCTATGTCCCTTTGCCACAGTCTGTTTAATTTCAACTGTGTGCCAATTTACCGAAGTATTTTATAGTTTTCTGGTTACTTTCACCAGTAGCCGAACAGAGTCTCGACCCTTTTTCATGCATGAAAAGAGCCAACCGTGAGCTCAGCAATGGGAGGTCTCGCCTTTCAGGTATGTCAGCTGAAGACCACCCTACTGGAAGAGGTAACAAGAACAAAAAGCCGAGGTCAAACAAGGCAGCCCCATGTAATTAGATACTAATAGTGGATTTAGGGTGTAAAATTCACTTAAAACCATACACCAACAGAATAAACAATCCCAGACAGAATGGCAAGTTTTGTTCGAAAAAAATGTTTTTAATACCAGAAAGCATAAGTAAAACACACGTACTGACCTTGACTGACAGACTGCACTAACCTGCAAGTAACATCTGCTTCCAAATGACTTGCTGTAGGTTTGGGATAGTATAATTATAGAACACTGAAACTCTACTGTAACTTATAATACAGTGTGCATCCTGTTTCACATATTTATTATTTACTTGTCCCAATAACAATTTTTAGAATTTAAATTCTTACAGGAAAATAGATTCCTCTCTGAAGCAGTCAATAGCAAACCCAAAAATGTGAGTCTAACTCTATCTGATGCTAATGGGAGAACGTGCTGACATAGATGCTGCACAAACAGGCAATTGCTTTTTCAGGGTATGATAAGGTCAAAGTAACTAATATGACAAACTTCATTTCTGTTGGCCACTTCATTTTGTGTTAATTTCTGATGCTTTTGCAGGATGGATGTGGTACCTTTACATGCTACAGAATTGGTCTGATAGAACAGCAAGATCCACCAGGAAGAAAATGGTATTTCTCCAGTGAAAGTGAGTATCTACTAGTCATCTGCTCTTATTGGTGCTGGGGCCCCTGGGTCATGTTGGAAACTGGCTTTTTGCAGTCTTTCCAGATCCCCTAATATTTTAGTAGCTCCAACTGCTCTGCAAAGATCATATCTCAGAAAGTCTGGTTTGATAATTTTCATTTATCTTCATTTTACAGCTAATAAATTAGTCTAAATAGTTAAGCTGATCATATTAACTCCATGTCTCATAAGTTACTTGAGTGGGATTTATAAGCCTTTTGGAAATGGTGCTTTAAGAACTGTTAAAGAATTTAATATATTTTTGGCACACAGTCCAAGAGAAGAAGGTTTCGTTCCTTGGTGCTCCAAACCTTCCCAGGGAAAGACAGGCAAATGCAGGGATATGGAAAGATGCTGAAAACTTGTAAGCAGTGACAGTTCACACCAACTGAGGATTCAGTTCTCTGTATTATTCTCCACCGGTGGTATCTCCTATACAACTGAAGAGATGTTTGGGATTTGTCCCTTAGCAATGTCCCTGTGGCAAGACTGAAACTGAGGAAGTGAGACTAGCACTGCCTGGGGATGGCTTCTCTGCTGTCTAGTACTGTGAAATTATTTTCTGTAGTAGCTTTTCAGTACACAGAGTAGGTATTGTCAGCCAGTACTAACCTTTTGAGCCAGCTCCCATTGTGCGCTGTCCTACCACAATGGCAGGTAAGGAAGTAGTAGTGCTGGGGAGAATTCTAGCATCTGCTTTTCATTGATGCTGCTTAGCCTCTGTGGTACCTACAAGTCAATTGCTTCAGAACTACCAGGAGCATGTTTTACCTGTGCAGGTCCACATGGTTCCACATTAAATATGTCTACTTTTCTATGAAAGCATGCAAAAAATGGGAATCTAGGTGGAAAAGTGGGCAGCATTTAGGATATTGATGAAGAGTGAAAATTTCCAGAAGTTAGTGTTGGTTACACCTCTGTTCTTCTGACATTCACTTTCTATGAGACAGTGATTACTTTTAGTGAATCAGTTCTGCTTGCTGATGATGGTGCATTTGCTTTTAGGAAGCCTCCTGCATTGAGAATTTCCTTTCTTACTGAATTGCATAGTGTTGCATAATTCAGCTACATGTAAAGAACTACATTTACATTTTGTTTTCTAACCTGTTGAAGGAAAGACTAATTTTAGTGATGCTCACCTTTTTGGGTCGATGATCTTGTAGAGTTTCCCGCTGTGAGGCTGTGTCATACTTTTACTGCTTGATAATATGTAAATCTCACCTGTTAAAGAAATCAGTGCAATAAATTAGCTCTTTCCTAAGATGTCAAATACAAGACTTTTGTGCTCCAGCTGTATTTGCAAGATGAGATTAAAAACAACTTCAGAAGAAACACTCATCACTGAAATATACAACAGAATCTTGCTATTTGGAAATTCAAAATAGCACTTTCCCAAATTGATACTAAAATGTGAGAAACATTTTATCATGAATGTGTTTTGTTTCATACTTATAGAATTGGTTAAAAAAATAAAATTAGGAAGGGACAAGAGGGGGATCGGTCTGCTTATGCAGTATCTTTGCCTCTTAAATCTGTAATGTTGAGAATAAAAGCCAGTATGTGACACATTGTGTCATAGTGAGGAACACATTTCACAGGATGTGAGAGACAGTAAGGACCTTTGCCCCTTCCAACAACCCATTCTCTTCTTGGTTCTTCTTACAAGGCTGCTAAGGTGTAGCTGAAAGCAGCATAGACATTTTTGTCAAAGGAAAAATAGCCTTTAGATTCCTTCATTTCAGACACTGACTATGCTTTTGAGTAAGTTTTTGAATGGTTTAGCAGGCATTACCAATAAAGCTCATGATTTAACAACACTTTTTTATTATTTATTTTATTTACCTGATTCATCTTCACCAAATCCCAAGACAGGGCCTGAAAAGAAACCTCTACATGAACCAGTGTTGCCAAGACAGAGGGGTTTCTCTTGCCACTGTTTGGTTGCCGGACTCTGTTGCAGTGTTAAAAAATTTCTATATTCAAAAACACATAAAGCATACTGTTATATTACATTTTGAATAGAGAGTTTTCAAGGTCCAGATAAAAAAGTAAACACTTGCTGCAAGTAGCTCCATAGATACATCTGTGTGGTTCATCACCTTATGATTTCCTGCCTGTTGTTTTTCAGATGCTTAAAAAGCACAGCATTTCCCTTCCTGTCATTCAAACATTACAAAATTGGGTTCAAGCAACCCTATATAGCTATTTGTGAGTACTGAGCTATTTGGCATGGGAAAACTACACCTGTTTGCTTTGCTCCATCTGTGATGTTTCCATAACACCCAAAAGTTTTCAATGTCTTAACAGTTAGACCTGTTTGGGAAACTATTCCACAGTTAACATTTATTCCCATCACAATGTAAATGATGCATCTAAGTGTTTCTAGAACTGAAATCTTAAGAGTGCTGTGATGTGTGTTTGTGCTTTTTTCCAAGGATCAGATATGTTACCTATGTCACCATTCATTAGGTTACTGTACTATTTTATTTCCAAATCTAGACTTTAATCTGCACTGTCATATCACTAAACTGGCAAAGTGACACAGTATACAATACCGTTGGTGTTCCTTTATACAGGAAGCTCAATAACTAAATATACTTTATACGTATTTTTGTTTAAAAGTGCGTTATAAGAAACCTACCCATTGCGGTCTCCAAATACATAACTTCCATAGAGTCTTTCAGACTGGCAGCCTCGATAGACAAATCCACCAACCAAGGATCCACTGCTGAATGGTTTGAATTCTAAAAGTGAAGGCTCACTTTCTAAAAAGGAACTACCGTAGCATTAGATCATATGCAGAATCATATTTTGATTCACATTTATGAACATGTTATTACTTAAAAAAACCCGATTAATTCCATTTAAATGTTCTTCAAAATTCAGTGTGTTTTGCTGCAAATGAAACATGAAAAAAAAATCAGAAAATTACAACAAAGGCTGTTTGTGAAACGAGCGGTTAGGGATATAGATAGTAGAGGCTGTAATTGCTTTCTTCCGTGTGCACAGGCTGGGGGAATAAAACTATATAAGGATTAGGTCGGACTTTCATTGAAGCTGATGTAATTACTACTGTTAACTTTAAGTTTTAACTGTTAACTTTATATGTCAATACAGTCAGCATAATGGATCTTTGGAACTTCAGGAATACAGTTAAACCCCCTTCACTGTAAAGTCCTTATAGTATCTGAGAGCAGAAATTCCAGTGACTTTCAGCACAATTTGTTTTCAAAGCCTTTCAGTGGTTTGAAAAACTCTTTCAAAATCAGTTTCAAACACGGTATGCGTGTTACATTCCATAAAACACTAGTATTGCTGGCCATAGCTTCTCATGGTAATCTATGACCATCAAGAGAAGGCTGCGTGGAGACCTCATGGCAGCCTTCCAGTATCTGAAGGGGGGCTATAGGGATACTGGGGATGGAGTATTCCTTAGGGATTGTAGTGATAGGACAAGGAGTAACGGGTTAAAACTTAAACAGGGGAAGTTTAGATTGGATGTAAGGAAGAAGTTCTTTACTGTAAGGGTGGTGAGGCACTGGAATGGGTTGCCCAGGGAAGTTGCGTATGCTCCATCCCTGGCAGTGTTCAAGGCCAGGTTGGACAGAGCTTTGAGTGACATGGTTTAGTGTGAGGTGTCCCTGCCTATGGCAGGGGGGCTGGAACTAGATGATCTTAAGGTCCTTTCCAACCCTAACTATTCTATGATTCTATTTTATGCTGCTGTTGTAGTTGCTAGTTCCTACACATTTTCTTTTTCTTTTCCTTTTCTTTTTTCTTACAAAACTTCAAAGTTTAGTCATACCAAATAATGTCTCTAAGGAAGTTTCACTGGGAATGTTCCTATTCATGCAATCAAATACTGCTTAGGGCAAAAGTAGGCTCAACTTGACTTGCTAACTGCATAATTTTAAGTTAAAGTCATAGCCAATAGACCTTTTTGTTTTATAGGAACTTCTTTTAGTTGGAGGGCTATCTGCAAGTCTTTGATAGATGAATTTCTCTGATTATTCTACAAGAGTAAGTGCTGAAATTTTATGTGGGAGAAAAGGATAATGAGTTCTTTCTATTGAAGCAATTGACCCAGAGCCTAGTATTAATACTGGCAAGCTGTTTTGGATAGACAGACTATTGCTTAGTTTACTCTGCAATAAAGATGCCGTCAAAATTCCACTGGAGCAGTGGTTTACCAAATATTACTGTTTGGTTTGGCTTTTATAAAATGAACAGAAAATACATTCAACAAGTAAAGTAGAACAATTGCATTACACTATTGTGTACTATTGTACTAGCCAGCACAACTGCTTTTAAGTAAAGTACAGGTGGGAGGACTAGGGATGTAAATAGCTCAGAGTAACTGTCACCTGGATTGCCTGAGCAAGCAATCTTAACGAGTATCAAGAGTTAAACATTAAACTAAAATTGTGACTGACAATGATATCGAGTCAGAGAGAACATGTAACACTTTAAAATTTTAAGTCCCTAATTGAGTATGTTTATCTTTTTGCAATGTAATCTAAATGAGTCATTCATTATGAAGTAGCAGCATCGTACATTTTTCTAAGGTTGTCATTTTTAAACAGAGCTCAATCATTGCCCTGTTTGGTTATGATCTGTTGTTGTCTAGCTCACTTTTTCCATTATAGGAAGTGCACTACATGAGGTTTCCATTCTGTATCTTAAAAGGTTATTTGTGAATGGCTGAGAACACATTTTCACCAATTCCCGATATTCCAAAATCTTCTTTATGAGCCATCATAGGAAGCAACAGTGAGATCTTTGACAGACTAGCAGCTGACATATTTCTTAAGTCTTATTTACATTATATTCTACCCCAACAAGGAAAATTTGAGTCATTTAGATTTTGTTTTGTCTTGCATTGTTATCTGCTTGTACCATACTTTTCATAAGTTTTTTTTACATTACCTATCCTGTCTATGCTGGAAGCTACCTATCCTGGATATACAGTCCTTTATCAGTTTCCTTCTGCTTTTTATTTATGATTCCATGGGCACAGAGACTGTCTCTTCCCAGCTTTACCCTGGACGGAACTTACCATAGTCTTTACCCTTTATTATTTGTAAGATTCTTGCTGAAGATCTGTTCTTTCCATTTGAATCTGAGCAAAGTATTGTTAAATTGATGTTTACATCTGTTGGGTGGCGGTCCACAGCACATCTGTAAAACAAAAAATATAAGAAAATTTATGAGATAGGTGAGTTTATAATGTATAATTCTGTATCAATAGTATGACATCACATTTTGAAAGATTATTGTTTCTTTGTGGTGCTTTCTCACTTGAGGGACCTAATTCATACTGAGCCAAAATATCTGAGAACTGCATCAGATTTGTATACAAGAGGTAACATACCTTTCCCATCCCTGCACCATTTTTTATGTAATGTGAAGTAAAACTGTTTTTTCCTAGTGATAAAACATACTCTGCTGAAGAGCACCTGAAATGGATAGTGCTTTAACTAAGCTAAATGAGCTGATTTACATTGGACTGTTAAAGAAGTCTGACAATAAAACTTCTTATCTGAACAACTTGACTTTCTGAATTTTTTCAGACTATGACTTTAAATGTCACTTCAGTACTACCACCCACCTAATTTGCTGAATTATGTGTTGTTTAGTTAAAGCATTGTTCTCCTCCTTGTTATTGTTTAGATATCACCAGATGTTCTCATTTATTTTCTGCATGTCTTCTTTTCTCAATCAGGATTCCCATCTCAGCTGTGCTTTACCAACTCTCTGCTCTAAGTTTTCTTCTTTCATAAAGGTAATAATTTTATTATATGTTTAAAACAAAAATCCTGTGCTTTGTTTCTGTCACTTCAGTCTTGACTTGTAATAGTTGTGCACACTCCTCTCCTTCTCCTTTCCCAATGTACATTTGTTTCTGACTGTGATGTATGTGTGAAGGTGAAGGAGTGGAAGTTTTAAAAAGTTCACAAGAGCATTTAGTATTAAAATTTTGTTACCTACTCTATAAAAGATTCCTGGTTGAAAACAGTATCTGCTCCAGAGTAATTTGGTTTAACTTTGACTTACTTACCTGCCTGGATTGTGAAGTCCATGTGCAAAAATCTCAGGAGGTTGGTTTGTGCTATTAAAATGTGGGTTGCTCCGTGGTATGGAGTAAGGGACATTGCACAGATCAGTATTTACATCGAGGCGCAATACAGAACCTGTAAAATCACTGAGAAAAGGATAAAGTAATTGTTTTCTTAAAAAGTATTTTACTAATAGATGTAATCCATGTAATACTACAGCGCACCAGCAAAATAAACCACTCACTTTGCTGAATAATCACATATAGATTGGTTTTATGGTACATGCAAGTCCAAAAAGTAGTAGCAGAACCTGTCAAAGATTCAGTGCGGCCAGTATGTTGCACTGTTAAGTGCATACTAGAATGCCTCTGACCATGCTGTTGGGAAGCAATGTTGATAACAAGAGCAAATTTCCATACATTATTGTTGTTTTATGGCTTCAAATATAAGGCTGTTAACTCTTCTACATTGTTTATCCTCTGGAGTGATTATGGGCATAATAACTGTAAAGTTACATAATGCTTTTTGCTAACACTTTGAATACTACTCTTGAATTCAATGATTTGTAGTCACAGTACAATACAAAGATTAATTATGCATGAATTAAAAAAAAACAACTAAACAGAAAAAAACACAAACAAAAAAGCCCCAACAAACAACAAGAAACTAATGGTACTGGTTAAATGGAGATGTTGGTATTTACTGTTACATGAAACAGGACAGAGTTAATATGATTTGCCTTACATTCATGATTGTAATGGAGGGAAAAGGACAGAAACATAGAAGAAGAGTGTCAAAACTCTATTTACAAGCATCAAAAGATGTTGTACTTAAATTGATTTTGTTCTCTTTCTTCATTATGAATATGTTTCAGTCTACCCTTGCTGTACATTAATTGAAAGTCAAATATTAGAATTGCTCTCTGGTCATTCTCACTGCAAAGGGCCGGAGTACCTGCTATTCTGCTGAGCCAAAAAGGCCTTTGAGCATAGCAACTCCTTTTAAGTCTGTAAAGGCCTAGTACTGCACTTTCTCTAAATTAAGGCAAATGTTCCAACTCTAACAGAGCACAATAAAACAGAGGGAAAAAGCAGGTTGAGCAAATTGTAGAGGTAGAATCAAAGTAGGATTTCTTCATATGTTTTCTAGCCATTTTTGTGAGTGGTATGTTGTTATTGACTGGTATGTCTGTAGGCATGTTTTTAGAATGTTTTCTCAATAAAGGTGTCTTGTTCATAGAATAAGAATTTGGAAAAAAGAAGACTAATCTGTGCTTAAATGCAATTGCATCTAAATACTATAGATGCAATTAGATGGGTTGATAGCACACAACTACAAGGAAATGTATTTAAGCAGTAAGACTGTTCTGAAAATCAGCAGTTTACTAACTCAGGCACTGAAAATAGTATGATTGTGTAGTGAAGGAAGCGGGAGTAGGATTTGCCCTGACAACTGCTGATCACTTTTGCTTCCTACCCCAAATAATGTGCAAAACCTAAAGACAATATAGAAGTCTGTCCATTGGTAGTTTTTGTACCTTAAACCATCCATCTCTTCCATATCATCTAGAGTGATCATGCCATCTCCAAGAAAAATATATAGGAAACCATCTGGGCCAAACAGAAGCTGTCCTCCTAGGTGTTTTCGATGTAGTTCTGCTACTTCTAAAAACACTCTTGCTGTTCTCATATCAACTTGGTGTGGATTTTTCCTGCAATAGAAAGATTATCAAAGTTATCATAGTTTACTATCATCATTGTTCTTCCTAAAAATAAGCTCAAGTCATTCAAGTTATACTTTAAGATGTGGATGTTGTAACTTGGTGAAAAAATGTCAAACAGTTCTTTCTGAGAATTTTCATCTTTCCAGCATTCACAGAAAAATATTTTGCTGCCTATTCACAATAAGTAGGAATAACTATAATTTAAAAATGACAGAATAACAACAAGATCTTAAAAAGAATAAACTTGTGTACATACTGGCATTCCAAAGCTACTGTTTGAAATAAAAGCAGCAATAATTTTTCTGTGAGTGTACAAGTAAATACACATTGTAAAGCTGATAATTTATTGTAACAATGGGAAATACTAAAATGAAAAGGTTGCTAAAAAATACAAAACTACCGAATTTTAGACTTCTAATGATACCTGGATACTGTGTATTCTACGACCCTAAGGATGTGGTCATGAGGTCCAATAGCCCACCGTTCTTGGTTGGTGGTATAAGACACATACAGCTTTCCATTTTTCTTGTAATTGGGATGGAATGCAAGGCTTAACAGTCCTCTTTCATCTCCTCCCTGCAGTCAAATGAAAAACACAAAGAATTGTGAAGTTAATTATGTTCTTTATTGTGTTTCAGCTGGAACCCAAAAAAAAAAGTTTCTTTCTTGTGGATAATCTTTGCCCAAACTCTTTCATTTCTTTCCTGACTACTGCACAAAAAGGATTATAAAACATTTCACTTTGGGGAAGTCTTTAAGAGTTAGAACAAGACAATTGTCTTATGTAGTTATCTATGCACAAGTCTCTTACGCCACTTTTGTGAGGTGATTTGTGTATGTAATCTTTGGGAAGCCATGAAGACAAGTTTAAGTGCTGCAAAGGATTCTTTACTGGGTTACTAGGTTGCTTGTAATTCGTAGAAGACAAATAAAAAGGTCTATAATCAGCAGTCACTTCTAATCCAAGTATCCAAAACCTAAAACACAGTGCTGGCTGCCAACTCCCACTGTCTTGGCAATATGTTTAGAAAACAGTTAAATTGCTTGTGTAATATGTAAACCTTTGTTTTACCCTGGAGGCAGCAACATCAGTTGTCACAACTATGGTGGTCTGTTCATCATAGCTAGTATACTGTAGGTAATAAGCAGCCTTGGTCTCTGTGCAGAGAAACCGAAGTTTTACATGTGGTCTTTCAATGGAAAGGTTTTTGTTATTTTTTAAAACAAAAATAGAAAAATCTCCAAACAACTTTCTTTTGTTATTATGTTTGCCACAAAGATTAGTACAGTTATATGTTAAGCATCAAATCCATGTAATGTACTGTGACAATGCAAATACCCCATGTACTGAAATAGAAGGCAATTTTCTCTTTGGCATCTAAAAATGTATGTAATATTACTATGCCTAAAATTGTATTTGTATAAATGAAGAATAAAACTTCGATTCATTTGATGCTTTTGAGGTAATACAGGGGAGAGAAGCTGAGGCACAGAAATAAACAGAATACATAGTTAGCAATTCAGTGATATATGTGATTATTCACAAGCTGATAGTTGTTTTGGAGTTTAACTCAGGGTTTGCCAGTCTTTCAGAACTAGCAACTCTTGTAGATTCAAGTGCTTCAGCTCAGCTCTCATAAGGAGACAGCATTTTGCCACTCTAACCACACCCATGATAACCATTTACGAAATTTTAAATTATAAGAGAGAATGAAGCTTTTAAAATGCATTTGCAATTCCAAGTGATGGATGGGCCCGTCTTCCTGTTGAAAGATATCCCACAAAAGGCCTACTTGGGAAAGTGCACAGTTTAATTTATCTTAATACAAAACGATTGCCATATTTCCTTTTTAATCACAACCACCAAACAGAAATCTGAGTCAGAAATGGAGATGTAAATAGGTCAAGAGATTTCCATACAAAGATATTTGTACAATGAAATCTGGATCCTGCTCATTTAGAGGCAGCCAAATTTGCTAGTTTGTTTGCTAGAAAAATTTAGTTTCAGGAGGTTATCAGAGAGGTTAGTTTTGAAAGTCTAGTTAGAGCTGCCAAATCAGTTGCAGTCATCATGGATGAAGGGACTGGTAATCTAGCTCTTTCTCCTTTACGAGCCAAAAATAATTCTGCAGCTGAGTCTGAACTGATTGTAGATACTATTGTATGAGTTTCTAAGAGTTTTGACCAAGTTGCTCTGATAAAGTCTGAGGCAAAGGGAGGCAGATTAGTTGCTTTGGGAAAAGTAAGGCATATTACAAAGATTCCTGATGAATGATTCTATCTGTTGTGCCCAGACAAAGACAGTCCTATTGCTTCTCCTGAGAGATGAGTTCAACTCATTTAAGATCCCAGGAATGTCTATGAGTCACACTAGGCCTGCTATTCAAGGTGAGTTATTGAAAGTATTAGTGAGAAAAGATCTTTCTGTTACTAAGCTGAAGATTTTATTTAGCATTTGATGTCATGGGAGCACTCTCAGTGTGAAATTGAAGTTGTTGAAAGCATAAACAGGTGAAAATTAAATTAAGAGCTTTTAATGAAGTACACATGAAGCAAGAATTTGACGAATGAAACACGGGACCTGCAAGGTAGTAAGTATGGCAAGTTGTATTCAGAGGATCAGGCCATTATTTCTACTAATTGCTGCCTTGCATGATTCCATTAGACTGCGATATATTACTTTCTTTGTTTGTGGAATATATCTATTGCTTCCTGAAAAGTCAGGCTGCTTTCTGTTTTTCAAAGTAAGCCAGACACATTGTGTTCTAAAAGTCTATTTACTCATGCATTTAATAAAAACTTTGGAAATACCCCTCTAACATATTGAAATCAGTGCAGCATCCAGCCATTAGCTGGCTTACAGTCAACTGGAAATCCAGCTGAATTTTTCCACAGTTATTTTTCTTGTTTTGGAAAATAATTGTTCATGTGTACTTTCAGCTTTATCACTAACTGGCAAACCTCTTGCTTCCAACTAGATCACTGCCATAACTTCCATAGCTTTTGAAATTATCTCTATGGTGCCAGAAAGTATATAGTTTTCTGTACTGTTTTCTCATATGGTGTGGGGTAAATTGAGAGCTATCCAACAAAATCCCTTACAAACATTCATTTTGGTACTGTCAAACTGAATAATTATGTGCCTAATCTCAAAATTTCCCATTTTCTATATAGAATGACCCTCACTTTCTTTTTTGTTAATCAACAGACTTTTGATGTCTACTGTGAAACCAGCATCCCACGCTTTACAGTATTGTCTTGTAGATACTATGTGTCACGTATCTGCATCTTTTTCTTGTCAGCTTAATAATTTGACATCCATTGCATCCTTTTCTTCTTAAGTTTCCCTGAAGATGAGACTAGCACTAAGAAGATGAGACCAGCACCAACAGCCTATAGATGACATAGTAGCTTGTATTCTTCACTATTTAATGGAATAACCATTAATGCTTGTCAGTTAAATAAAGATGGGCAAGAAGAATGAGACAAAACTTTGCATTCCATTGGGATAGTTGGTGGAAATGATAATTAATAATCTAAATATACTCTGGTCTAGGGCCAATATGAAGTCTCTGTCATAACTAAACCTGGAAGCTCACACTTTCTGTGTCTGCCTATGCAGCTCCTTAGGTGAACACTCATCTTCTACTCATAGTAATTGCAAGTTTTACACTTTTTTTCAAAACTGCTTTTCCTTGGGCCAGATTATAAGCTTCAGCTATGGAGTTCTGTAAAAATCATTCCTTTAAAAAACAGTTTGGTCTAGTTTAGGACCACAAGCATGAAAATAATTTGATCAGAATTGTATTATCTTAAGTATAAACCCAGGTAAAGATTAATTGTATGCATTAAAGTGTTACTTTACTTTTAAATGGTTGGTTAGGTACATTATGTCAGTTCTGAAAGTACATTACACCAGTAAGTGTTTTCAACTGAAGTATGTTTTTGACATTTCTTTTTGTATTGTAATTTCTGTCATAATATATTTACACCTGTGAAAATGTGAAATAACTGCACATGATCCCCTTTGTATTTTGACTAACATTAAGAAGAATAATTGTTGCAAGTGAATACTGGATTTTTATAGAAAGGTGCTATTTTCACATAAGCATTCCTTAGAAGTGGGCTTACTTTCTAGCTATATGTTTCCAAATGCACTCTGGTATATCTCTGATGTCTGAATTTTCTGATATATACACAAGTATTATATTATCAAGGTATGATACTTTTTCTATAATACAGAAACATTTGCTGCAGTTATTTTTAAGATATGATGCCATTTCATTATGTCAATATATGTATTACTTCCTATGGTAAGTATAGAGAAATACACGGGAATGTGTTAACTGGTATTGTTAACTATTTCATTTAAAATCGATTATATTGTAAGCATGACCCTTAATTACGTAAACTTAACGATTAAATTTAGTAAGCAAAACCAGACATGACCGTTTATTTCCATTACTGTGTGGCTTAATAGTAAACAGTATAGGTAGCAGATTCTGAGTTTTCCTTTAAAATTGATTTTACAATTCACTCACTTATATAAAAGAGTGGTATTTATACTTAACAGCTTTTTCATCTGGACTACCCCACTCTCATGTTGGAAATTAGTAGCAACCTTATTAAAAGGGGCTGTGCTTAAATTATGTATGCTCAGTGGTCATTTGTGACTTAAAATATTAACTCTAATGTAATGTCTTTGTGTAATTTGTTTTCATCTATTATTACAGAGCAAATGCTGGGTAACTTGTTGAGGTAGTTATGATCCCCCTTAATTCAGTTTATTTCCTATGTAATAAATACCGTAACTAATATGCATTACCCTGTATTTGATCTTAAGGAATTTTATTTGTAAAAAAACATGGGGGAAGAGGTCATGGAACATCTAAAATCTCTTATCAGCCAGTACCATATGAACTCTTCAGAAAGGGATTTCTGATCAGGAGATCCCAACAGAATCTGTGCTTATTTGAACCTTCCTTTATCGGATCTTACTGTCAGGCTGAAGATCAATGTCAGGTATTTTTCTCAGCAGGAACTGATTGCTTAATGGACATGTTTTAGAAATTTGGCCCCAGCACAGGATAGAAACTTGACTACAGCAGAAGTAGAAGCGAGCAAAAGGTCTGCTGCAAGGGCACACCTCAGCTTTTAAAGCTGCGTCAACTGTTTTGAGAAACACAAGAGGGAGATGCTTCTGACAGGTAAAAGAGGATAACAAATACAGAAAGAAAACCAGAAATTGATTGGGCTCTAGGCACAATATAGAAATAGAACTCCTAGAGACCTCTTAGGTGTTGAGAACTCAAGTGCTTTGTTATCTGAACATCTGTGCGGCCTGAGGCCTCTGGAAAGGGAAGAATTTGTAATATAAGACATTTACCTTAGGGAAAAATAACTGCTCTGATGTCATGGCTCAGCATATTATACATACGAGACCATATCTCCAAAGCATTTCCTTTTTCCTGTGTGCTGCAAAACTTCCTTTTTTTGTCTTCATTTATAATGGGCTTTGCAGTTATCTAAAGAGGTTTTTTGGTTGGTTTTTTTTACTTTTTCAATATTTTTTACTT